ATGCAGAACTGTCTGGTATTTTTATAGTTAAACCAGGCAACAGGGAAAAAGGGAGGAGAATAAGGATAGCCCGGGAGAAAGAAACCGGAAGTAAATCACATCTTCCAAGTTGATTGGAAGATGTGAACCATGACCCCAAAATAAGGGGGTGGGAAATGCTTAGAATGTATATGCGTAACGGAAGAGAAGCCAGACCTAAACATTTCCACCATGCTGTACTGACGTCTCTGTAACCTTAATAAATGCTTTTAGGGAAAAATATGCCTGAAAGTCCTTTTAAGTGTTTCGTTAATCAGACACATGACATTAAGAAGGTTTGGTTGTTGTTGTTGTTGTTATTATTATTTTATTCATCAAATTTAGAACCCACTCATCTGCCTCATAGAAGGACTCTGGGCAGTATACAAGTAAAATATTAAAACATAAAAACTGTATATAAAATTTAAATAAGAGGCAAAGATCGTTCCAATCCAACATTCAAAGTTAATTAAAAGGCAGGGTAAGGCCACCAGGCTATACTCATCTGTGAGTCCCTAGTAAGATGGCAGAACCAGGACATTTCCAAAAGTCAGAATGGCAGGGGCCTGCCTCCCCTCTAGGAGGGAGAATATTCCAAAAAGCAAGAGCAACAGCAAAGAAGGCTCTCTTCCTGGTTGGAATTTAACTGATTGATTCTGCAACATACCCTCCCTACCTGACTGGGTGGGACGGGCTGATGTTATGGGGTGAAACTGGTTCCATAGGTAATCTGGTAACCCCATGCCATGTAGGGCTTTAAAGGTCATAACCAACACCTTGAACTGTACCTGGAAGCAAACAGGCACCCAATGCAGCTCATGTAACAGAGGTATTACATGCATCATTCCTTGGATAACCAAGATTTCTTACGTGACCACATTCTATACCAACTGAAGCTTTCCAATACTTCTCAAGGGTAGTCCCACGTAGAGTTCATTGCAATAATCCAAACAGGAGATGACCGGGGCATGAGTGAACACGTTGCCTAGTTATTAGCAATTATGTGGTACCCTCATTTTATTACTATTTGTCTTACTGTGCATTTCATATTTGCTTTTATTTTTATTGTTGTGACTATAAATAAATTTATTCCATTTTTGACTTACCTATTTGCCAACCATAGCTTGCCACATACATTAGTGATAATGTTGCTCAAACCCTGATGAAAATCTGAATTAGCCCTCTGTTTAGATTCCAAATAAGATTGTAGCAAGTGAAGGACCTATATTTAAAAGAAAAAGAAAAAAAGTTGCAGACTGTTGTTGCAATATTTTTCAAATATCTCCTCCCCTGAATTTGGATTTTGCTAAAAAAATAATTCTTTAGTGAGAAAAACTTAGCCACTTGGAGAATAACCTTCCAAACATTTACAGAAACATGATGACACTGATTAAATGTACTTCCTTCATCACTGAACCATGATCTGTACATTGCTGTATTCTATAGTAGTCTATCTGTCACTAAATGAACTATTTTTCACCATGTCACTTTTCCTTACAGGAATTATAATGGTAGCATTATAGCATATCTACAACAAGGTAATTTGCATCAGAAAAGGAAGAAAACCCTGTATTATACTGTGCTTATCAGAGAGGCAGCATGCATGTATAGTTTGTGTAAATAAGCAATCTTAGGAAAATTTTTATAACATTATAATGTGCAGTATGTGCAGTGTAATATTTTTAATTACTATGGAATATGGAAATAATAAGAGTTGTATACAAACACTGATCTCTTCTATGACCGTCCCTTGAATCTCATACTTGGCATGAATGTGTATAACTAAATAAAAAATACAGGTGCATTCAATTAAGCATTTGGGACATCCTTTTTTTTTTTTTTGACCACCCTCTCTATGTACAGTATATGGTAAATCTGCAAATGTGCTTAAAGGAATATAACATCTCAGTACAAAAGAAAAAAGAAAGAACAAATTAGTTGTCCTTTCTATATTAAAAGTCAGCAATGTTAATAATTTTCAAAGAACGTGAGCACAGTGTAAGAATGGAAGTTATCTGCTCCCATCTGCAGATTTTTGAAGAAAGCATAAGCATATTTTTGATTTTGGTAATTTGATTTATAATACCATATACTGGTTAGAGAGAGAATTGCAGAAATCACATCCAAGATAAGGGCTTAAAAGTATAGTTTTTATTGTTAAACAGCTGTCTCCTCCATGGCCGCACTGTTTCAAACTTATTTATTTACTTTTGTTTTTTTATTTATTTAATTTACAGTATATGGCTACCCATCACAAGTATGTGATCTGCAAGATTCAAAGTTCCTTTCAAAGTTATGAAACATAAGAGTTCACGCAAAATTAAAAAACCTCATAAACTTTCTTTATAATGCAACTGTTTTCAAGAGCAATGTTTCCTAGACACTTTTTAAAAAAATGTTTAGATGAAATACCAACTTATTGGACGTGTAAATAAGAATCAAGTTTGCTCGGTATACTTGGAAAAAGAGCAAATACATTTTTCTGAATTATAGTAAGCTATGATTTGATTTTTAAAACAACGGTGTTGTCTTATTGTTACACTATCTAGATGGCATCGTCATCTTCTGAAAAAAACAGAAAAAGCCACTTTAAAACTTGGATTTGTAGTTTCTCATGAAAGGTTAAAAAATTCAAATGGCTAAATACAAAGAAGCATTACCACAAAGGGAGTTTTCAATAACAACAACCTCTTTTCTGGGACTTCCAGAGAAGAAATGGCAAACTGAAGATGGTTTTGCTAAAAGCTGACTTCTTACCCTTTAAGCAGTAGCATCTGAGGAAAGCCAGAAAGTGAATCTTTTCTGTAGCAACACCTCCCCTCTGAAACATCCCAGACCCCAGGTGCATCTGGCCCCCACCTTGGCTGTGTTCAAAAGAGCTCTAAAAACTTTGCTCTTGGGTTCAAGTGGGTGGCTGGACATGTGTGACTATTTAATGGTTGTTTTTCTTAGAGCATTTGGTATTTTTTTGCTTTAGTTATAACTCTTTTTATTGCATGTGCCCAGCGTTACTGTAGAGTTGGGTGGCCATATAACATTTCTAAAGTAAATAAATGCACATAGACATTTAAATCCAAAAAGAGTTACACTGATTTTACATTTACTAAATAAGATTTTCTATATGTATATGTGGAAGAAGTATCTTTTTGCTTTCTTAAAATCCATAACAAATTATTTCAAAACATGCATGAGAGATAACTAACAAAAATGTATTGGAATATAAGCACAAAGCCAAGTCTAAGAAGCGAATGAAATAAAATTTGTACTTTTTTAAACTATTGATGCTTTACTGCCCTTATCACCTAAGGAAGGATTAATACAATAATCCTCCACTTACAACAGTTCATTTAGTGTCTGTTCAAAGTTACAACACCAATGAGAAAAGTGTTTTATGATTAGTTTTCACACTTATGACTGCTGCAGCATTCCCATGGTCACATGATCAAAATTCTTATTTTGATCAGACATTTGGTAACTAACTCAGATTTATGACGGCTGCAATGTCCTGGGGTTATGTGATCACATTTTGCGACCTTCTGACAAGCAAAGTCAATGAAGAAGCCAGATTCATTTAGCAACCAGGTTACTAACAAGTGCAGTAATTCACTTAACAAAAACAGTAACTGTGAGAGGGATCTTGGAATACTAGTGGACAATCATTTAAACATGAGTCAGCAGTGTGCAGCAGCAGCCAAAAAAGCTAATACAATCCTTGGTTGTATAAACAGAGGCATAGAATCAAAATCACATGAAGTATTAGTACTGCTTTATAAAGCCTTAGTAAGGCCACATCTGGAATACTGCATCCAGTTTTGGTCACCGTATTACAAAAAAGATGTTGTAAAGGTCTGGATACTAAGATATATGAAGAACAGTTGCAGGATTTGGGAATGGCCAGTCTAGAGAAAAGAAGGACTAGGAGGGGACATGATAGCAGTATTCCAGTATTTGAGAGGCTGCCACAAGGAGGAGGGGGTCAATTTATTTTCCAAAGCACCAGAAGGCAAGACAATAAACAACAGATGGAAACTAATGAAGAAGAGAAGCAAACCTGGAATTAAGGAGAAAATTCCTAGCAGTGAGGACAATTAACCAGTGGAACAGCTTGCCTTCAGACATTGTGGGTGCTTCAGGTTTTTAAGAAGAGACTGGGCAGTCACTTGTCTGAAACGATATAGGGACTCCTGCTTGAGCAGGGGGCTGGACTAGAAGACCTCCAAGGTCCTTTCCAGCTCTATTCTGATTAAATGTGGCAAGAAAGGTCGTAAAATGAAGCAAAATTCACTTAACAACTGTCTCATTTAGCAACAATGTTGGGCACAATTGTGGTCATAAGTCAAGGACTACTTGTAGTGGGTCTAACCCATATTGAATTGAGCTATTCCATTCCATTCTCAGCCTTTGTTGAGTGCCAGCAATGGCCTAGATCAGTGATTCTCAACCTGTGGTCCACGGACTCTTGGAGGGGGCCATGATATTGTCACAGGTGATCTGCGAAGGCTTGAAGAAACATTATGATTTAAATCTTGAGTTAAGTCTTGGGGGTCTGTGATCCGTGGCCATAAAAGGTAGTTAAAGGAGGTTTGTGGTAAAGAAAAGGTTGAGAACCATTAGTCTAGATGTCTCTTCTCTCTTTTCATCTCCCTCCGCTTCTCTATGAACCAGAGGGAATGATGGGATCTATCAGAGGGGAGAAGTTGAAAGGCAAAAATCTGATCCAAAGCTTTGTCTGCCCTCCTATTCCAAGCAGCAACTAACACTTCAGATAGAATTTATGACATATAAAAACTGACTTTCTATAAATTAGACAAAAATTACATACTGTTCCACTACACTTGTAAAATCTCTGCTTGCATATCATTAGCTTGTATACTAGAGTCAAATATAAATAAATATTTGAATTTCTAATTTAAAGATTGAAAGAATTCTGTTCAGCTCAGTGATTGTTGAAAAAAATTATGTGAATGAACCAAGATCACTCTATATTACACATTTTCGACAGAGAAAATTTGACACCCTGAGGGATTCTACATGCTTCAGCAACTGAAATGAATACCACATACACAGTAAGTTGCACTAGAAAAGGTGAAACGAAAACAAAAAAACTTTGTTTTATCCTGAATTCAGGCAGGCTGATAGTACCACATAATATGGTATTTTTCTAAAGAAATCCCAATAGTTGCATTTGGCTTATGCTCAGGATCTGATCAAATGTAGTATTTGATGAAAACAAGAATCAATTATATAAATAAATGGAATACCTCCCTGAACTGGCTAAAGGAGAGTGATAAGCGTCAACACATTTGTCTAATATGGCAGACTTTTGTTTGTAAGCACTGTTATTATATCTGATGCTTACTAAATTGATAATTCTCTTGCTTCTCACTTCTAGGAACAGCATGAACAATCTTACCAGATTTTATTGATGGTCCATCTGGGAATAATCCTTGTAACAAAGTTTACAGTCTGAACAAATAATTAGTTAATGCAAGTTCTTCTGCTGTTATTTATTAATGCATTTCTTTTCAAATTATAAACTTACTAGAAAGAAAGCCTCTAATGAAACTCAAACTCTGGGAAACAAATGAGCCACATAATAACATTTACTATAACTCATCAGATTTTTACCATATGGATATGAACAAGTCTATTTATAAATTTTATTTCCCATCAGGCTAAGCATGTCAGCTTGTAATAACATATTAATGTTAATGTTTTCCAGTCATTTTCACAGTGGCATTTAAACTGCAAACGCCTAAGCCAAGGTAAATCTAAGGGCAAACCGAAGGCTAACTACATAATCAAAACCAGCCTTAATGAGTATTGTGCTAACACAGTGAAATAAACATTAAGGCTAACTTTAGTACATAACAGTATTTAAAACAGTATTTGTTTTAAAATTTCCACAGCATTTTTATTACATTTCCAGAACTACCTGAAGATCAAGTAATCTCATCGCAGGTGACCTCATTTCCCATTTGATAAGTGGCACATAAATTGCACGCATCTAATGCAAAGCAGAAAGGGGGGGGGAAGCTTCCAAGGCTTTCAAACTTGAAAAAAGACTAAAGCCAAGATTCCTTTAAAAATGTTATTATTAAATGTCTCTTGTTCTTCATAATTTTCTAAAACCAGGTTGAACACTGAGCATTTCTATTTGGGAAAGAAAAGTAATTTAGATGCACAGTAGCACTTACTCCCTTCCCATATGCACAAGTCCACGTGGGATACCATCCTTGCTGGTCTGCTGATAGTGATATTCTGCCACTATGCAAAGCATATACCCACATGTTAGGTTGCTAATAGCAGCCCTCTGTGTTACACACAACACCTGGCCATCTTTATAAAATGCACAAAATATCAATTCCCTAGCTTTATTGTAGCACACCTACAAAACAAACAGCAGAGACACATGGGATAAAAAAACATCCTAGGACACAATCATGACATTATTTATAAACCGTCCTCAATACATGCATATTCCAGTTTGATTTACTCATAAAATGGATGATTCAGTGATACTTTTTGTGCAGTGGCTGCTTAAATATTAAAGACTTAGAATACCTGACAACATATAAAGTTTACCTACCTGTTGAGACAAGACTCCATGTAAAAAATTAACAACAAAGACAATAAAAAGGTACCTAGCCATAATTTTTATGTTTTCCTCTCCACTTGACATTAGAACTTTTTTTTTTCAGCTTCAAAGGAAAGCTTATCTTGGTCAATAAAACTGAACTATAAAGAAGAGCAATTGCAAGGAAGGGGCAATGAAAAATATTTAATGATAGTAGTTTTTCTGCTTTGATCTCTAGATATTATAACATTGATTCATAATAACAGCCTTTATAAATCACCTATGAAAAACTACAAGTCAAATACTTTTGCCAAGTCAAATACCAAAAATACATGATTAGCAATATTCTTATTTCAAAAGGCCAAGGGAGTTAACTGAAAATTCTACTACACAACTTATTACTCAAAATGCATATTATTATGGGGAGGGGGGAAATGTCCACAGAGGATGCAGTCAGATACCCTAAGACACCGAGCAATCTTCATATATGATTGGCTATTTTTGCATGTCATTTTTAAAAATTGTTTTGCCTGTAAGACAATTTCCTACCAACAGGACAGAGAAGGAAATTAATCATTATGATTTGATTTTTCCATACTTTTAGTTGGTTATTTTTTCAAAAGCAGTTATGATCCTGGTTCTGACCCATTTTTTAGACTTTGCCCCTTCAATGTCCAAGAGTAGCTCTTGGTCCCGCATACTGCAGACTCCAAACTAAGCTATAATAGTAACTTTACAAATTGAACTCCTCTATTTTATTCCATGCCCTCACACATTAAGTTTCCTATGAGAACCATTCCTTACTATCGTGGGAAAAATAATCCATATGAACAGAGACACACCATAAAATGCTGCTGCTTTCCTAAGCTACTGCCAAAAAATAAAAAGCAAAATTTCAAAAGACAGGAGAATGAGAGTATAAGCATATGTAGCCAAGAAGGAATTTAAATAATCATATAATACAAATAAAATCTAGACTTAACTCAATTCCAAGTAAGAACACTACCATTAATATGCATTCCATCCTATCTACAAATTATATAATCACACTTCATGCAACTCTACAATGTAGAACAAAGCAATATTTTCAGAATATCTGAAAAAAATTGGAATATACACCTTCAAGAAATTCAGAAAAAGGCAATATAAAGTGTCCAGGGTCATGTCATGATAAATAGAAATAGCACTTAAACTTATATAATGCTTCATGGTGCTTTACAGCCCTTTCTAAGTAGTTTACAGAATCAGCATATTGGCCCCAACAATCTGGGTCCTCCTTTTACCAACCTTGGAAGGATGGAAGGCTGAGTCAACCTTGAGCTGGTCAAGATCGAACTCCAGGATGTGGGCAGAGTTAGCCTGCAATAATCACTTAGCAATGGCCTTCCAAAGGTTGCTGAACTACAGATCCCAATATCCCACACAATTGGCCATGCTGGTTTGGGGTACTAGGAATTACTTGTTCAGTAAAAATGAAAGCTGAGATTTCCCTCAATCTTGAATTAGAAAAAGTACAAACTGAAATGACTCATAAATCTTTGGTGCATGCTGTAGTTATTTTTCTTAAAAGTAAGCTTATAGTTATATTGACACTTTGATACAAAATACCTGCATTTAAAACTGAAGATTCATTTATTAAGTTACAGTTCATACATATTTGTTTATTAATTTTTTTGATAAAAAATGTAAAAATAACAATAGCAAAGGAATAAAACAATGAAAATTAACAGTAGAAGTACAACAATATGAAATTAAAAAGATGAGCGGAGGGGGAGCAGGAAGTGCAGGGGGGAGATGGGGTTAGCTAGTTAGTCCAATAGCCACCTTCATGATCAAATGCTTCCCTGTTTTATTTGAGAATGATCATGAATTATCTTTGGGACTTTTTGCAAGGTCAATTATTGAAATAAAGTCTGTATCCCATTTTTAATATCTTGATTATGGGAATCACCCCGATTTTTAAAAGTTAATCATAAGTCTGTTACAGGTTTTTTATCAATTTGGATATTACTCTTTTGTGAATAAGTGTTTACCTCACTGATGCTACATTATGCAAAAAGGCAAAACTCACTTGTAATAGCGTTCCATGAACTGCATTCTGCCGTATATAAGGATCAGTGCTAGTTGGAAGGCCAGCTAACAAAGAAGATACTGTCTGTGGCACCAAATTTAGCATAACGAAGGGAACAAGGGCTCTTCCAGCCAGTTCACGTGAACGGTACACAGGAGAGTTACCACATCTAGAAGTCAGGAAACAGAAAGGCAGAATTTTTCAGGTGTCATGCATACGCAAGGTATCTCAAGAACAGTATTTTATTATTATTATTATTATTATTATTATTATTATTATTATTATTATTATTATTATTATTATTATTATTATTATTATTATTATTATTATTATTATTATATTATTATTATTTAAATTTATATACCGCCCTATCTCCCTTACGGGACTCAGGGCGGTGAACAGGTAATAATAAAATGAAATATTATAATGAAATACTCAAGAAAATATTTATGCAATTCTCATAAATGTATATATTTCATCCGAAAATGATTTGTGAAATGCATAAATGGTTTATACACATAGCACTTACCATTTTTAATAAACCTTATGGGGATCATAACAATAGCTTTTTTTGGAACGGACTGGAGCTTTTTGTTGATTTCAGTTTGCATACTTTGAGCATGCCACAAGGTGGCACTACTTGAATTGTATTTTAATTGTGTATTTTACTTATGTGAATTATACTCACCTGAAACCTATGCTTTTCACCACAGAGATATACTGTTGACTAATATAGAACGAATCCCATTCAAGCTGTCAACTTATGAAAAATGTTTATATCACAAACCCTACCTAGCAATAAATAGAAGACACCATGATAAAGACAAGTTCTAAAAAGGCATGGCAGCTGACCTAAGTTCAGCTAGGCGGATGACACCAATTAGAGGTAGGGAAAGACACAACTCCCTTTTAAGTGATATTTTTAAGGATTTCCTTACAGCCAAAAGAAATTTGTTTTCTATGAAATGGGTACAGAACAAAAATCCCGGTAGCCAGTACCTGCTGTTGAGCTGCTACCAAATCCCTGTGTCAGGCTGCATAGAACAAAAAATAACTCTACTATTATCATTCTACATAAAGCCTATTTTCTGCCATATAATAATTTATTTATATAATAATACAGATAGTCCTCGACTTACAACCATTTGTTTAGTAACCATTTGAAGTTACAATGGCACTGAAAAAAAGCGACTTATGACCCTTTTTCACAATTATGGCTATTGCAGCATCCCCATGGTCACGTGATTTACATTTGGATGCTTGACAAGTGGTTTATATTTATGATGGTTACAATGTCCCTGAATCATGTGATCACCTTTTGTGACTTTCTGACAAGCAAATCAATAGGGAAGCCAGATTCACTTATCAACTGTGTTACTAATTTAACAACTGAAGCGATTCATTTAACAAACTTGGTAAGAAAGGTCATAAAATGGGGCAAAACACAACAGATTTCTCACTTAGCAACATAAATTTTGAGCTCCATTGTGGTCGTAAGTTGAGGACTACCTGTATGAGCAATCTTCATTTTAATTGTTGGACCATATTTCATTTAGAGGACCTCATTATTTTGGGCATATTTTCGAATCAGCAGATTTATAGGTTCAGTACTACACAACTTCTGAAAATGTGGTCCTTAGTGGTATGAGATACATGCTATTGATTTCGGCAGAAAAAAAATCTGCTTTAGTGACTAAAGTATGAGGTACATGTCACAATGTTAACACAGTGTTGCACTTGCTTTAATGTAGGCATTCTTCCAATTCATTTATTGGCTTATTTGTAGAAGCAAATACCACGTGGAAAGAAAATGAGCAGCTTAGCAAAAGGATTAATTAAAATAAATAGCATTTTACCACAACAGTGCAATATAATTTATCTTAAAATGCTTCCATATTTAAGCTATATTATCTCTATTCATATTTAACAGGTTCTTGTAAATGTTTCTTTTCAAATACAATTAACTCTGACATGATTGCTAATGTTTAGTTTCTAATTAGCAGTAACTATACACTCAAGAATGCCATTTTTTCTCTTCACAATCATTTACAAATGATGATTTCCCAAAGGAATCTGGCTTCAGTTCAGGAGAAAGAATGGAAAATGGGAACAGTGCCAATGTTTGTGACTGCCAGATATTTTGTCAAAAGGTACTTTCCAAAAGCATGATTCAGAGAGCTTTTTTTTCATAACCACTCTAGAGCTACATTCCACTGTATTTAATTGCATTAGTCTCATTTCACTAACATAATCAAATACTCACCACACGTCAAATAACTTGATTTAGTGTGTTTTATTAAATATGTTTTTAAACAGAAGCATAAGCATTTAGAAATCTAAAATTATTTATTACATAATGGCAAATTAAATGCAGGTGTGAATATAACAGTATAATGCATTAAGGCAAAACTAAAATAATTTCAAATTAAGTACTTAATACTGCAAACACAGAGCTATATAAAACAGGTCTATTCCATGTTATGAAATGCCTCTCACAAATATCAAATTAAACAATATATGGCACTGCCTGAATATTTTTCCTTTTCCCCCCATGCCACTTCTTTCTCATTCAGTTCTATTCCAAACCTCAATTTATTAAGTTTATTAATTATAAACTCTTTTCCTTCTAGGACTACAAATAACCAGGCTAAGAAGGCAGACAGCTTCTTTTTCCATGCATGTATTTTGACTTTCCCCCAAGAGAAGAAGTTACCATAGCCACATGAACAGGTCCTGTACACCAACAGACAAATGTGCACCTTACTAAAAATTGTTTTAGACACAATCAAGTACTAATTTCAATTGTCTGTTTGTTATGCCACCCATCTCACTGATACAGTGACTCTGAGCAGCTTACAATAATAGTTGCTTCTGAATGTCAGGCAGAGGCAGATATAGGATGTCGGGCTGTGCAATCTTTTGGATTCATTTCCCAAAATGTGATTCCAGGCATACAAGGTTGTGAACACAAAGCCCCTATGCAACTACCTAAAGCAGCTTTATCTTTTCCCAAGAGTTAAATGACAAAAAAAACAACAACCCTGAATGTGAGCTCTTCTTACTACACACATTTAAAATTTGTTTGGGTTTCTTTTTTAAAGTATCCATAACTTTTTTTGGGGGGGGAGGTTGCTCTCTTTCTCATTGAACTGGATAAAATTTAGAGAGAAGCTGGATTATTACTGAAAGATGAAGTGTGCCAAATTTCAAAGAAATAAGCGTGCATAGTTGGCACTGAGACTATGAAATGAAAGTTGGAGCCCAAAAAAAGTACAGAAACCAAGAACAGCATAAGCAACAAGTAAAGTCAGTTGGGTACAGCACTAATCAGGGGACAACCTGTTGCAAAACTATCCTGGATATTTTGATCTGTATTGTATTGTATTGTCTGATCAAAAAAGACTCATTCATCTTAAAGCACAATTGTTTTATCTCTGCTAGAATATTAATTTTGTTAACTTACAGGGGAAGGAAGGGAAGAAGGATATAGCTCTCTAGATACAAGCCTTTAGTGAAGTAGACTGTAGAAATACATTTCATTATTTTCCAGTAAGGAATTCCACCTTTTGATTCCTCCTGTATTCCCCTCAACTATTCTTTGTCAGAAATTACCAGACATAAATTTATTGAGCAGAAGTGGAAAGAAAGAAAGGCGTTACTGCATAATAGTCCAGCAGAAGTAAACAAGTCATAAAACTTCAGGTTGGGTTGCCCATTTTTGCTTCCTTGTTATTAAAGTCACAAAGAAGTCATTCAACAAGAGTGTATCTGATTCTGGAGTTCCTGTCTGTAAAACATACTATTTCCTTCTGGCAGTTCACAGTAAACATAGGAAATTGTTTGAATTGTCAAATAAAGTCTCCAAAGAATAAAAGGTGCTAGTAGCAACCATGATTCCTTCATGTTAAAAAATACCAACAATAAATCTAGACTTAACAAGACTGGATTACAATGAAATCTTTCTATGATCTTTCTTTTCACCAAAACTGACTTGGAAGGTTTTTCTTTTCCCCTTAACATTACTCTGAAGGGATTTGCCTTTTTAAAGTGAATAAACAAAGCAAATCAGACAGGCTTTATCATGCAACACCTGGAAATTCTTGAGGTAAAAGCACAAATGTTGTAATGAAGTAAATGCTCTGTTTGTATTGTCTGCATTTAACCTTTGCTTTGTTAGAATAAACTTTAAAGTATGTCATGCCTGAGCATGAAAAAAATGAACATATTGCCCACATAAGACTTCCCTGAAATCCTGGTATCCCTGAAGAATTCTTCTGTTCGCTGAAGAAATATGTTGCTTCTCCTAAGATGTCTACATAATACATGATCAAAACAATATATTATATAGATGAAATGCACACCAAAAATTTTTCTCTATCCATATCTCTATAATTTACAATTTTCAGTTTAATTTTCCTTATTCAGAATATACTATCAACCTGATAAAATCAGGTGAATGCCATGTAATAATCAATTAACTACTGATTGGAATATAGTCTCTACTTTCAGAAGCAGTAGGCATCTCCGTATTTGCTGCTGGACAACACAAATGGGAAAATGACATTTTGCTTATCCATCTAATTGTAAAGCTTACTCACTCTACAAGTTTTACTTATGGTTTTCCAACCAGCTGGAGAATCCTGGTCCAGATGAGGAAATCCTCTGATCCAAAGCATCTCTTATATTCTTATTTAGATAGTACAAATTTATAATACAGGAATCTGTAATAAGGTACAGAGTTTACTAGAGGAAAAAGAAAGAGAGAGAAGGCAGAACTGAATTTCTCACTGCCTTTGAACCTAGAAAATTGCTGGAACACACCAACACTTCAAAATCTCATTTAGTAAAGCCAGAGTCAATACAATCTCTTTGGTCAAGGGTGGCAAGCTTTTTGTCTAAAGGGCCAAATCTAGTTCCCTTCCAACTCTGCAAGCATAACTGGCAGGTCTGCAAGCCAAGGAAGATGGTGTCAGTTCACAAGCAAGGACGCCACTAATAGCCTGTTGCCACTGCCATTCCAAACACTCTGCTCCCATCCCTCTGCCCCACTCCTTGCTCCAGGGGCTCAGCTGAGGCTTGGGCCTGATGATCTGCTGCCCACCCATCATTCTATTCTTAGCTTAAGGACCTACAAAAAACCCTGGTGTGGCTGTGGAATTATGGGAGTTGGTCTACCCACCTTAAAGTTGTTGAAATTGGGAAACACTGAACTAGATGTTTATTGCATTTCACAGAGCTCATTTCTGCATCTCAATATGAGTTCAATTAGTTTTATTTTGCAATTTTTTAAAGCCACATGGAATTTATTACATTTTTTCTTTAATTATCATTGGTTTTCTTCATAATAAAGGATAATTCTGCCAACTTGAAAACTAATATAAAACAAACGAAAGCAACTGCTTTCTTGTTACAGCCATTTTACTATGTCAACAATAGAAATATAAAGTACATGAGAACCTTACTCAGTAATAGGTGACTTTAGGAAAACCATTATTTAGGGTGACCAATCTTTTCCACTGAGGAAAACCCCAGATATACAGATCCAAAGAAATGGACAACAGTGAAGTTGATTCAAGAGGATAGTCAAATTTAGTGATAATTCATTTTTCCCAATAGAAACAAAGGTTTAATAAACAGTGGAATGGACTAGATGAGGTTGATTCTTCCTCAGTGGAAGATCACATAGTCTACATTTTTTTCCCATTAGCTCATAAGAATTCTTTAATTTTAAGCAATAAACACAGAGAACATGTTATTTACTCCTGATTAAGAGCCTTGTAATTGCTCTTACTGATTGAGAATCTTAAACATGTGTAGCACATTTTGTTAAGAGAAGATGGAGCCTGCAAACAGATCCATCTTTTAAGATTAAATTCCAAAGAATCTGACTTGGCACTCTCCACTGGTATAACTTTCCCCTTCCCCTACATAAGAAGGTTTATCTTGGAGGTGAATAAAAATAGTTCTATGCAAATATTCAAGACAAATAGATGAACCATTGAACCACATACATTCAAATCGAATTAATTAACCCCATTAGTTTTCAAGTCATTTCTGACTCTCTGTAATGAGCTAAAACAAAATGCAACAGTCACAAAATTACCATTGGAATATTTTGTATACATACATACATACCGTACATACATACCGTACATACATACATAGTTGCACCTGACTCAGAAACAAATTATCTATTCTACCTGGCACAATCTTAATTTACTTTCTATTTTAAACAAAATAAAACAGAAGTCAAGGGTGATGCTATTTGCACATTTCTCAAGGTGAGATATGACTTGCCTCTGCAAACAAATAGCTAATCAAGATACAACACCCAAACCCACAGTCCATATTTATATTTCTATCAATATTGACCAAGTTGAAAAGATGAAAACTCAAATGTTTCAAGCATAACATCATCTAGTTTCAAGCCCCTTCATTAAATATTGGCTCTGCCACCCCTAAAAACTATTTAGATAAAACATCTTAACTTGCTTTAAAAGCAAAAAGTCATGGTTTTAAATTGACAAATTACTAAGCATTTATTAACTTCATTTAATTATTTCCTTTACATATTTTGAAACCTCATAAGGCAGAAAATTAACAGTTTTGCAATCTTACTTTTGTATTATTTTTAATAAATATTGCAAATTAGAACTAATGCCAAGTTGCCCTTTCAAAATATTTTTCCATTCTTTCTTAATGCAATTTATGAATGAGCTAGTGTGTGGTATAAGCTATAGATTATGACTTAGTGATGCATGTCACCTTCTTCCTGGCAGGAGAAAGTATATTTTAGCCCCTTTTCCAATGCTACCATTATGCTAAAAAAAAAAAGGTTGTAGCAGGTATTCCCTTTGACAGCCACACAGACTACCCTAAACATTTGGGACTGTTAGGATTCTCATATACAGAATAAGAAACATGATATCAAAATAATAGGAAGTGATAGTACCACTCTAAGTTACACTGCAGTTCTGTGTCTAGTTCTAGTCAACACAATAAAAGGACACTGAGAAACTCTAGTTTGTACACTACATCATACAAAGATTAGTTAAAGGAAGCTGATATGTTTAGCTTAAAGAAAAGCTAAGCAGGGACATGATAGCAGTCTTCCAATATATGATGGAATGTTTTACAAGATTGTTGGGATGGAAGAATTCTCATAGTACTTGAGGGAAAGACAAAGCTAGTAAGTGGAAGTCAACAGGGAGAGAGCCAATCTTGAAATAAGAAGAAATTTCCTGACTACAAGAGCTATTAAGTGATGGAACAGCTCCATCACCGGAGGTTTTCAAGAAATGATTAGACAGCAATTTGTCTGGAATGGTCTAGGATTCCTATCCTGGGATGGATATTGAAGTAGAAGCCTTTCTTGATCCCTTCCAACTCTAGGATTTAATGATTCATAATATTCAGTGGGAAACAGTATTTTTTAAATGTCATTTATTCCCAATTGTTTTGGCCATTCTATATTTCTAATTGCCATTCTTTATTTGCCATTCTTTCTCTCTTAAGCGATTGCTTGATCTTTTGGATCTTCCTTGTTATTTTGATATGTTTTTAATCTCTTTGTACACTGCCCCGAGTTACTCTGTGATTGAAATTAATCAGAAATTAATTGAATGAATGAACAAATGAAGGAGTGAATGAAATCATTGCTTCATGGAATTCAAAGGGGCCATTTCAACACCCTTCTCCATACAGGATTCCAAATTAAAATAACCACAATAGATGACTATGGAGCCCCACTTGAACACCATCCAACTAACAGGAGCCAACATCATTCTGAGTCACTCTTATTGTTGGGATTTTTTTTCTAATATGCAATTAATAAGCTCTTCCTTCTATTGACTCTTCCTTCTATTGATTAAAATTAGCAATAACCAATACATTAATTTAAATGATTGCTTTTTAAATCAATTAAAGTTGAGCCCTATTTAAGAACTACAGCCATCCATTATACAATGGAACTAAGACCCATATCTTTTGTTGAAGGCATAATGCCTAAAGCAAAACCTATAGCAAACAATGAATCAATCAAAATAAATGCATGGTAAATCAGAATTAGCAGCATTTAACAGAGGAGATAGAAATCCACATGTAGTAAAAACAGACTAAACTGCTAACAAAGGCAAGTAAGGGCATATAGTGTTCCATGTGCTAGAGATTTTCTTTCTTTCCCCTTTCCCTCCCCACTGTGTCCTATTATTTGCTCTTGTATTTTTGTATTTTATTCTATAATCTAATAAAATGTTATAAACTTAAAAAAGAATCATGTGATATTTACGTTATAGTAAATGTGCTTATATATGGTATCTACTAGATTAACATGCAATTTTAATATCACAGTGAATAAGAGTTGTCTCATTTAATAAGGAGAACCAAGTGATCTTACCACACAAATTACTGAGACTTGTGACTAAAATGATTTATGCATAATTCATTTAAAACACAGCAAATTTTTAATTCGATTTTTGCTAAAATAAAAATTCCATGTATTAAAATGAAAGTATTCAAAACCTAATTAGAAATGGTTTATCCTGTGTTTTAAATATGTAAGAACACAGATAGAAAATCAGACCCTCAGGGTTTCCTACTGAACTAAGCTAGATTTTGACCATTTCTTTTCTTGAAAGGCAATGGGAAGACCATACAACTGGATCTTCATACCCATCATTGCTGTCCATAAAGTAATTGAACAGGCAGGTACTTTACTGTAAAGGCACTTTACAGTACTTTACTGTAAAATCACCAGTGGTGGGATTCAGCCAGTTTGCGCCACTTCGCACCAGTTCGGCAGAACCGGTGACTAATTTTTTGTTGCCCAGGCCCAGAATGGACTTCTGGAAGCAGCATCCACACAGAGAACTGGTTGTTCCCATATTTGAATCCCACCACTGAAAATCGCCCTTCATTTAGCCTCTCAGGAGAATGAATCTTCTCTCACTTTAGCCTTTTGAAAAAGCACCTTTGGGATAATCATGACCTGGATGACTGAGAATCTCCATACATGTGCTACATTATACTTAACATTTACTAAAAAATAAATGTTGTAAAGGAATGAATGAAAAAAGTATTTTAAACTAATAATACTTTGCATAATAAAATTAATTGGGAACTTTATTAAGGAAAACTAAGCATTAAAAATGCAACTTACCTCAAAATAAGAGGAACAAAGGAAGCCATGCTAAGGGCTGAATATGTGCCATCCATTGGTGATGGATACAGCTTACTCAAGACCAAAAGCAAGAGAAATAAGCTTGGGTGAAGCTTCAACTCTTTAGTTTTACTACATAAAAATATACAAAGTTTGTCTAAATTATAATCTTGCTTTTTCAATTAAATGTTCATATAGATAAAGGGCCAGATGTTTAAAGTTTGTCATAGTCGTGGACCAAATTTATTTACTTTTACATCTTTTAAAATGCACACAAGCATATAACCCAATTACATTGCAATAAGAGAACATATTTAAAAAAAACTACTTTTTTCTCTATAGGAAAGCTGAATCTCAAAATCACAGGTAAAAAAATATATCAATGTGAATTTTGTCTTAATGTTTTAAAATAAAACTGAATTTAAAATTAATCTTAAAATCATTTTAATGCAGAATGTCATCCTTTTATGTTCAAAAAATACATAAGAATGAAGAGAACAATTAATTGCTTTAAAAAGTGTTCAAAAGAGTTGTGAGCAATTTAAAAATTGACAAGGGAAAAAAATACTTCAGAACTATTCATTAAGGCAACCTACATTTTTCAGGCTTCCAGACAAAAATATCATCAGCTGTAATAAATACTGCTTAAAGAAACCACACTTTTATTCAGGCTAACAAGGATATCTAAAAAAACAAAAAGCCTTTTTTATGAACAGCAGAGAAGTAACATGGTCATGCCAGGTCTGAAGTACTTTTTCCAAATAATTTTTGAAGCATGCCCAGCGAATCTTATCCTATTCTATTTTCCACTTCTAACAATTTGTTGTGATACATAACAATGAGCTTTCTTACCTGTCTGCTGTACCGGTTATTTGTTCCAATTGACTGAGCAAAAATGGATAAAGACTTGGAAATCGAGTAAAGAACTCCCTCCCTGTCATTCTGTAGAAGAATATAAGAAAATCAGTAGTTTATAACAATGCACTATTTTCAAGAACTTTGTCTTCTAGATTTATAGGTAATTTGGCACAATCTAAACAATTCAAAAGTTCATGTTACTCAAAACATGTGAAAGATACTATAAAATATGTATAAACTATTAAAAATATTATATGAAATAATTTAAAAAGTAACATTGAAGAATCTCTTATATTAGGCATTTATTTCATTGAAAAACTCACTTAACACAATTGTGGAATGTAACTCATCATTCCAAATCATCTCACCTATTGATGAGTTACAGCAATCTAGAGTTAGGGGATCTGTAGCCCACTATGTAATGCACTTTGATCAGAGTTTATGATTTTAATGCTTCAGCTTTTAGAGGAAGCTCCCTTCCATTAAGTTTAATAAAGCAACAACTGAAGTGGTAGAACAAAGTAGTAGAACTATTATTGGACTGAAAATAATTGATAGCAAATGGAATATGGAACATGGCAATACTGAATACTTCCCCCATTCAAAAGCTTCCTACGCACAGAAATTCAAGTCCAGGTACAGGAGAAACCTTTCCTTCAACATGATAATTTTACATATGCAAAGTACATTTCTTTCTACTACATTTATTCCTTGCAATATAATGCTTTAAAGGTTTAGAACAACGACACCATCTGAGAAGCTGATTTAAAACTTTGGCCAAAGCTTAATAAATCTAAATTGTTTCATAAAAAAGAAAAAGTTATAGCATAGTGGCTGGGAAATTCTAGGAGTTGAAATCCACACATCTTAAAAGTTGCCAAGGTTGAAAAACACTGATCTGTAGTGTAGATGGTGTTACTGGAGAAATGTAATAGCTGTGCAATTTGTTTAATGTGTGTGTGAACACTCCATCTGTGCCTGAGAAATGGATGAGCACTGCAGTAAAGAATGAATGAAAACTAGAAAGAGATTAATTTGTTAAGCCAGGGGAGATACTTAGCATAATTTTAATTGAAAGTGCATGAGAAATAACAATGAACAAATTGGGGAAGCACGCTGAAACTTTGTGCCCAGCAAGAGGTGTACAGGTCAAATTGTGGTTTTTCAGCAGATCATTGAATAATATATATCAGTGAAAAGGAACGTCAATTGTTTGTTGATTTAAAGAAAGTGAATAGGCTTGAAAGTGATAAAGTAAATAGCCTTGAATTACATGTACTTTGGAATATGAAGATAAAAATTGAATTGCTGAATGGAGTAGGAACATAATGGAAGTTAAACAATCAAGAAAATAAATGTTACACTTAGGATTTCCTGCCTGAGCAGAGGGTTGGACTAGATGACCTCCAAGGTCCCTTCCAACTTTTTTTTTTTTATTATTATTATTATTATTATTATTATTATTATTATTATTATTATTATTATTATTATTATTATTATTATTATTATTATTATTTTATGGAGATAATATAAACGATGCGATTCTGTATTGGTTGTGAACTAAATAGCAAATGAAAGATTATATGATACAATGAATAGTATAGTTCTGAAAATGAATATATTCAAAAATGAAGATAGCTGGGTCTGACAGGAGAAAATCGTGGCAAAAAATGGGAGCAAGGAGTTGAATTTGTATGCCTTGGGAAGTTGTGGTTACATTTGATCCTTGCTTCATGAGCCATCGTCCTCATTTAATGACAGCAACGGGGACTGTCAGGATTTCCATTCTAAACCTCATGGTCATGTGATGTTTTACAATTGCATTGTTTAGCAATAAAAATTCTGGTCCCAATTACCATTGTTACCCAAGGACCTGTTCAGTGACCAAAGTCATGAGGGTGCTGAAAAAATGGATCTGTGACTGATCTTTGAACTTATGACAGTCACAGTGTCCCTGTGGTAATGTGGTAACAATTCAAAATTGCCTGCAGTTAATATAGCCTTCTATGCTGCTCCCCCCCCCCGCGCTGTTCGTTGTCTTCTTCAACTATCTCCCCTCTTTTGGACTTAACATCCCAGCCTTACATAGAGGTACCACAGAAATGTCCTGCAAGCTGATGGATGACAGTTGCAGATGGGCAGGTATACGCTGTTGCCCATCTAGAAGGAAAGGGCCGTGACATCCAGGGCGATCCTTTGCCCTGTACTTTGTCACCTACTGGGACAGTCACACCACTGGGACAGTCCTTTGCCATGGCACTGGGGCTTCTTGCCCTGCTGAGAGATATTTTTTCTGTCCCCTCCCCCTTAATTGCATACCAATAACATCAGGGTGAGGTAAGAGAGCCGCTCAAGGAGGCATGGCTTTTGAAAGACTGTTGCTGTGGAATTGTGGGCAAGATGGGCCTGGGCGAGTGATATGAGGCACTTCTCATTCAGCAAACCACTGAAGGTAATGGGCTCCAAAGCAGTCACTTTTCTGGGGCTTGGTGCATGGCAGCTGTGAGGCTGCTTGCTGTGCCACTGCTCTGGAACTTCTTACTGGGGCTGCTTGCAATGCTAAGGCTCTAGGGCTCAGGACTTGCTTGCCATGCTGTCACAACAGTGGGACTTCTTGTCGCTTAAGGTTGAAGGAAAAGTAGTCTCTTGTGTTGGAAAAACCAAAGTTTAGGGCTTGGATTGGGGTGGTCCTCGCCTAATGACTGTTTGGGATTTGTTTTTACATTGGCAACAAGGACTGCCAGAATGAGTCACTTGCTTTTTCCTATTAAGGTTGTTAAGTGAGGACTTCCTATAATGTCTTTCAGCTGTTTGCACATTTTCAAATGTTGCTGTCCATTTTGCCCTTTTTTGTAAACCACTTGCTAAACAATGGATAAAGTGATAAAGTCACTTTAGTGATAAAGTCACTAAAAAGATGATACCTTTGATTATTTTATTTTACTCTTTCTACATGTGTAATTATACATTGTAGTATATCTTAAATCCGTTTGTGTATTTTCAAATATTTTGTATCTATATAAATACTATTTTAAGATATTACGTATCAATAAAGTTACAATGCAATTTTGAATATTTGGTCTTTAATATCAACTACGCTTTATCTTATGATTTACTGGATTACAAAAGTACAACTACAAACTCAAATAGACCAAATTAATCATTCATATTAATCTCACGAAAAAAATATAAACTGACTTCTCTGAAAATGCAAGACCTAAAATGAAGGTCCATGTGAGCTTTCATCTATATTTTATACATTATTTTATCCTACTCTTATGCTAATGTTTTATTTATAGTTTACATGGAACAATAAAAGTTATAAGGTAACTAGCAGAATGTGGGGGGGGGGGGAAACTACGAGTAGTGGGTAAGGGCAAAATAAACCATTCAAACATCTTAAAGGAAGTTGACAAATAGTCTCTCCTTGGTGCTAGACCTACCCAAGTCTTCTTTGAAAAAGCAATTAAGAGAATTATACTTTAACAAACAAGCATGCAACATTTTTGTTTTAAAAAAACACTGAATTTTTGAAAAAAGCCAGTTTGGTGTAGGACATAAGGTACAAGCCTAGAAACCTGGAGACTGTGAGTTCTAGTCCCATCTTCTTAGGCATAAAAGCCAGCTGGGTGATTTTTGGGCTAGTCACTTTCCCTCGGCTCAACCTATTTCACAGGGTTGTTGTTGGGAGGAAAATAGGAGGAAGGCGTATTTTATATCTTCGCCACCTTGAGTTACTTATAAAGTACTAAAGGTAGGATTAAAATATAATAAATAAATATGTACAGGGGCTATAAAAATATATATTTTTAAAGGCATTCGAGTACAAGCTAAAACAAAATGCAAAAGTGTGCTGATACAAAGATAGGACCTTATTGTGGAACAATATATCCAGCTTAATTGTTTAAACAGATATTGCAAAAAAAAAAAAATTTATCAGCTATACCTTTGCAAAGATTAGTGATTGTAGGAGATATTCCAGTCCATACCAATTTAAGCACAATTAAAAAATGACAAAAATTTGAGACAGACTGCAATATGGCAGTGGCAGAGTAATACAGGTAGTCCTCGATTTATGATCACAACTGAGCCCAAAATTTCCATTACTAAGCAAGACAGTTGTTAAGTGAGTTGTGCCTCATTTTACAACCTTTTTTTGCCACAGTTGGTAAACAAATCACTGCAGTTGTGAAGTGAATTATATGGTTGTTAAGCAAATCTGGCTTCCCCCATTGACTTTGCTTGTTGGAAGCCAGTTGGATGGCTTATAAATGGTGATCACATGACTTCAGAGCAGTGCAACTGTCATAAACATATACCAGTTGCCAAGCACCCAAATTGGAATGCATGAGTTTGATAATGCTGCCACGGTCATACAGTAAGTGTGTAAACCAGTCATAAGTCACTTTTTTCAGTGCCATTGTAACTTTGAACAGTCACTAAATGAATGGTTGTAAGACAAGGACTACCTGTAATAGTTAGGATTCTGTTGTGGGGCAACAGAGAAAACAATTTAGGCACCATTTCTACACTTTAGTTACAGATTATTTTTGTGAATTATTTACAGACCTAATTCAAATTTATTAAGCCAAGAAAAAGAATGTCTGAAAATCTAGAATAATTCAATATCAGTAAAATGAAAAAAGAAAAAAGATTGATGAATATAGTGTTTGTTTTCCAAGAAACAGCAAGGCAACATGCTTAACTACCAGAAAGCAAACAACACTGCTTAAGTTCATTGACTTAGGAAAACACTCTTTTATACTGCATAGGTCTAAAATAAATACTTTGGGGAAACAGAGAACAAGCTATTGTACCTTGGCTTCCATTTTCTTTCAGACAGAAACCGATAGAGCAAACATTCCTAAGGGCTTACCTTGCCTGTGTTTCTATAAAATTAATAACTGAGCTGTCAGTCAAGGCATATATAAATACAGTAATGCTTTCTCCTTTAGAAGCTCTCCTATTTACAAGAGCAGCCAGCCAAGATTCTGAAATGACTGCATGGTCTGTTGGCTTTGATCTCTTTTATACCCTACTCTCCCAGTATCTGTTAGTTTGCTATTTATGATACCTTTGTGTATTTAGGCATAAGTAAAGCCACTGTGAAAAGCCAGCACTTCTTAATGATGAAGAAGGTAAATACATCAGGTAGTGCAAAGGATTGAAAAAAAAACCACTCCAGATACAGTCATTTGTTAATGCAGGAGACTGATTGCATTATTTTTCTAATGTTAAAAAAATAAAGCTTAGCTGTGTTATTTAAGCATATAGTAGCTTCGTAGTTGTAGAAACATCCCTCAGTATTCTCTTTACCATCAGCAGAGAAGGCAGCATATGAAAGACAGGCTTAAGATACAGGAGGATCTGGACAGACTTGAACACTGGGCGCTATCTAACAAAATGAAATTCAATGGTGAAAAAAGTAAGGTTCTACATTTAGGCAAGAAAAATCAAATGTACAGGTATAGTATAGGGGGTACCTTGCTCAAGAGTAGTAACTGTGAGAGGGACCTCGGAGTCCTAGTGGGCAATCATTTAAATATGAGCCAGCAGTGTGCTGCAGCTGCCAAAAAAGCCAACACAGTGCTAGGCTGCATTAACAGAGGGATAGAATCAAGATCACGTGAAGTATTAATATCACTTTACAATGCCTTGGTAAGGCCACACTTGGAATACTGCATCCAGTTTTGGTCACCATGATGTAAAAAAGATGTTGAGACTCTAGAAAGAGTACAGAGAAGAGCAACAAAGATGATTAGGGGACTGGAGGCTAAAACATATAAGGAACGGTTGCTGGAATTGGGTATGTCTAGTTTAACGAAGAGAAGGACGAGGGGNGGGACATGATAGCAGTGTTCCAATATCTTAGGGGCTGCCACAAAGAAGAGGGAGTCAGGCTATTCTGCAAAGCGCCTGAAGGCAGGACAAGAAGCAACGGGTGGAAACTAACCAAAGAGAGAAGCAACCTAGAACTAAGGAGAAACTTCCTGACAGTTAGAACAATTAACCAGTGGAACAACCTGCCTCCAGAAGCGGTAAATGCGCCAACACTGGAAGTTTTTAAGAAGAAACTGGACAGCCATTTGTCTGAAATGGTATAGGGTTTCCTGCCTGAGCAGGAGGTTGGACTAGATGACCTCCGAGGTCCCTTCCAACTTTATCATTATTATTATTATTATAGCCTATAACTTCTTTAGAATATTAAACAAATAGACTAGAAGATGGAAACAAAATTCAAAATAATTATCATAGGTTAAGTGCTAAATGGAAAGATAACAAAAAATGCAAAGTTCTCAAATTTAGGGGTAAAAATCAAGGCACAGATGAACTTGACTTCATAATAAGATATATGAAAAAGCCTGGAATTATAAATCAGCAGTGTGACATGGCTGCCAAAAGACAAGAACCAAAATATTAGCCATTTCAGGGGAAATGCTAGTTCTGATATCTTCCACACTGCACAACTCCCAACTAAGTACTGTGTCAGGTTCTGCATACTACAATTTAAGAATTCCATTAAACTAGAATAGATAATAAGATGAATAACTAGGAACTGGTTAGAAATGAAGTCTGTGGAAAGATTGAAAAGAATTAGAAATTGGAATTGGAAAGAAAAGTCTTAACAAGAAGAGCAAATAAACAGGGAGATGAGGAGTTCCCCTTCAATGGATATGTTTATGTTATCATTTGTTGGCAATAGCTTTATTTGGATTTCTGAACTCAGCATGGGTTGGACACTAAATAGCCCATGTTTTCTCTATTTTAAAATATGTTAAGTAAATCTGCAATTTACAATGGTTTGGAAAGGCATCCTTTATATATCAATGAGAAATAGGCTAGTGGCATGAATTCTTGTAGAAGTCTAGGAGACATTTTACATTTCTAGTACTCTGCTTTGTTAAAAAAATATTTATATCAATATTCCCTAAAGGGAATCAACCTCTTAATGGAATGATAATCAAAGTAATATTCTGAAATAAATAATATCTACTTGAATAAGGTTTCCTTTGTTAGACAGCCTGGATGTTTCCATTTGTTTGGAATTTACAGAAATAAAATTCACTTTTATGAATCAGTTCCTCTTGCAGATTTCACAATTCCAAACTATTGCCACATTTAAAGTGACCAAACTAGCTATATAAAATGCAATCTAAATTCAAGATGAAGATGAAAACAAAGGCTGTCTAAGGAAACCAAACAAAACATAGTTGCTGTAGGTGCACTGCATTTGTTTTATTAAAAAATGTATCAAGGGAGACATCTAGTGGTTTTAAAATACAGAGGTGGAAAGCAATAAAGTTTTCTTCAGCAGTGATTTTAGGCAAAGAATCAATTGTCAAAGATCAATTTAAAATAGTGTCAATGCATTTGTTACATAAAGAGCTCATACATTCCAGTAGGTTCTGGTTATTTCTCAAAAACATTCTGTATTTGTTAAGTGTGCAATGTTTGGCACAATTCTGCATGAGAGATAATAATGAGCCAAATCTGGAACGTATAGTGTGGCTATATGCTAGGAAAGAAATAAGCAGCTGAGATTTCTGATTTTCAGCAAGACACCGAGAAATGTATAAAAATGAAAGAAAATAGACTGTATATTTCTTGTGTCAGAAAAAGCAAATGATAAAGTGAATAGGCTTGAACTAAGCAATGTTTTGCAAAAATGTGGAATTGAAGATAGTTGCTAGATAAATCAGTACATAAATACTGATATATAATGGAACTAAAACATGTGTGACAATAAATAGAATGATTTGTGAAAAGTTCAAGAATGACCAAGAAGACATAGATTTCAGATGGAGATTCAGAGGATTTTCTTTTCAGATGATTCAGATAATTTTTTGAATGCATTATATGCAACATAAGCTAAATGCTTGTGACAAAAATGATAAACCTGTTTTTTGAGACAGGTGTTTCCAAGAATAACTGATGCCAAGATTAAGGAAGACATTTTTGTTGGTCCACAAATCAGATATGTCAACAATGGCAAGTGCTTTGAAGGTCTGTTAGTGGAGCCAGAGAAAATTGCCTGGAAAGCAATTCAAGGATGTCATTGAGAATTTTCTTGGCACCAATTTTCAGAGCACCAAACTACATCTGGCTGATTAACAAACTTCTTATACCATACAAGACCATGAAGTGCAATGTGTCATTGAAGATTCATTTTCTGCATGCACGCTTGAACTTCTTTCGCAAAAATCTAGATATAGTCAGTGATGAACATAGTGAAAAGTTTCACCAGGACACAATGGAAAAACAGTAACGGGACAACTGGAATCCATCAGTGTTGACTGACTATTGCTGGACACTACAGTGAGATGCATCAAACACCAAGTACAAACTAAAATCAGCAGCAAAACATTTAGCTCTGTTGAATTCATGCAGCATTTTGAAAACTTTATGCAATTAAATATACTGTAGTCATTAAAAGTTAATTTCATATTTCTTAAGATACCTATGTAACACAGACATTCTGAAGTTATACTTGTGTTCAGTTTGAAAGAATCTGTCATACTCACCGAAAGTTTTGAGAAATAAATATTTCTGAAAAAAATTGTTGTCTGATGTAATTAAAGAGTATAATCAATACATCAGAATATATGTAATTCTTAGGATCATTTTTGAAAAAAGACTCCATATCGTTTGGTAACATTATGTTTCACATATAAATTTATATGTAATCAAAGTTTATAAATTTGTTCTTAACTATGATATATTTTAGAGAAGTATTTCTTACTGAAATGAACATACCTGTTTTTCTTTGAGCTCTCATCCTTTCCTCTCTTAACTCCAAATATTCTTGTAATGAGAGTGCTAAAGAGAAGCGTAGATGAATTTCTCACCTAATATATTAAGCAACACAGCAAATATTAAGATATTTGTATTCAGTTTTT